TTCATCCATTGGAACCTCAACGCATAATCTCGCATATCGTCCTATTAAGGATGAGGATGTGCAGGCGTCAATTTTTAATAATTTTCCAATGGATTTTTCCACCCGTTGTAATATTTGGTTGTCGTAAAACTCTGTGGGTAGTTGAGGAAGTCTTACCCATACTGCCGTGTGACTTTGTTTAGCATCCTTTGCAACAAAATTTGGTTGCCATTGTTGAGTTGATAAGAAAAACCCATAGACAAACCATGGACCATCCTGAAGGATGTGGGACATGTTATCCTTGCTTTGCAGCTTTACTAAGTAGTAGTCATTGCCTAGATCGATGAGGAGAAAATTTTCTTTTAATTTCCATAGGATCTGTATTTTGTGTCTTAATGTTTGGTGGAGAATTCATTTTCCATGTAGTTTGATGATTGGGAAATGCTTCCATGGAAGGTAGATACGTTTCTTGTCTTCCTTAGTAATGGGAATCGAAAGGGTTTGATCTCCACCTAGGTATTTGAAAGGAGCTGGTTCATTCTCTTGGACTTCCATAGGAGAGGAATTTGAATCTATGTGGTTTAAAAAATAAATAAAAGTCACCCTTGAAGGAATTAAATCAGGCGGTTTGGGAGGGATATGGGGATCGTCAATTGTTTTATTTTCAATGTCCATTTGATTTCTTTTAGATGGAGAAGGGAGATGAAGAGAACTCGAAATTTTCCAGAGAGATGGAAGAGCCTCTCTCACTAATTAGCCTTGGTTGTAGGCGGAAATATCTCTTGAAAAAAATTTGGACATGCTTTTTTTAATAAAAAATGTTGAATGAGGAAACATCATTGGTAAAGAGAGGAAACACTCAAAGTATTACACCCTATTAAGTCCAATTAAACTTGCATAAAACAAAGGGAAATTTTCATAAACCACTATTTTTTAGTAGTAATTAGCCATTTATAGATATCATTTGCTATATTATGGATTATAAATACCTTTTATGTTGTTATAAGATGTATTTGGTGTATTTAAGCTATTGTATTCATGAATACAGTAGCAAAAATAGGCGTGAATCAGGGAAGTCCAGCTAATCAGTTGTTATATTCGAGTGTATTCGATTGTATTTATGGAGTGAAACATGGGATTACAGCTGGACAGATTATTATATTCGATTGTATTCACGGCGTGAAATAGGGTATTACACTATTTTTAAGACGAAAAGTGAATCAATTAACATAATAGACTCATAATATAACTCAAAAAACTCAATCATAACACACAAAATTTGTATTTTCAGTTATAAAAAAGATTCTCAACCAAAAAATATCCCAAAAACATAGCAATCTTCAGTAAAATTATATAATATATCTGAATATACAAATTATATTAACTAAAAAAACTTATGAATGCATTCAAGGTATATAGCGAGATAGTGAATACGATAAAATACATAGTATACAGTGGGATACATTCAAATACAATAAAAACAAGACAAAGAATGCAATCAAATATATGGAATACAACGAGATACATTAAATTACAATGAAAAAAAAAGATAATGAATACAATCAAAATCATAAAAATACAGCGTAATACGTTAAAATTATATTGAAATATATTAAAAAAAATGTTCTTCTTCATCGGAAAGAAAGAAATCGTCTATTAGTGGATCTCCGAAATTGAATCCTCTTTCCACGACCGCCACCATCTCCTTGTTGGACTTGAAATTATGAGAAATATTCCCATGTTAAAGTTGATGAAAATCATGAAAATTTTGAGTACTCAAATGTTTGCACCATAGCCTTTGTTGTTGTTTATGTTGGCTATAAGGGTAATGCATATTCAAAGGCAAAGGCTGAGCTTGTTGGAATGCAATATTAGACCAAATATGATTCGCGTTCGCGCCATAACTACTGATTTTTCCATTTGTGAGATGAGATCCAATGGTTTCTTGGCTAACTCTTTCATAAGCAGCCGCCAACTCCTTTACTGCAGTTCAATTCAAGAAGAAGACAAAGCAAAAAGAATGAAAAAAAAGTTGATTAGCGTATAAAGGGAGGGAAAGTGGGAAGGGATAGAAAGAAAATACGTGGAAGGATGAGGAGATCAAAAATTTTAATGGGATAGGGGAAGAGAATGAGATGTATCAAAGTAGAGAGAGAAAGAAAATAGTGTAACTGATTAGCGTATTTAGTGGCTTAGGGCTAAGAGGTAACCAAAATTAAATATTTTTCTATAAACCTTAAAAGATATCTATAGAATATAATTTTTTTTTTAAATGATATTTTTTTAAAATAAATAAGGTGTTAAACTTTGCTATATGAGGTAAAAATTTCTAAAAGAAAACTATATCCATCAAAGACTCTATTCTAGCACTCAAGACATGCTCTAGAATTTACATCGGCCAGCCTCACCCTCTGTCCATTTCCCTGCAAAACATTTTAAAAGAGCATAGAAATCGTTAGTATTACTTAAATAATAGTTTTTCCTTGGCAAAGCATGCTTGAAAATTTTGAGCATTTATGTGCATGTTTAACATATATATTCAGCCATTCTTCAAGTATTATGTGGTCCATCTTCATCTGTTGCATAAAATTTTATTTCTTGAAGCTAATAAATTTTTTGTCACATTTCCTAGCAGATGTAAGTATCATCTGCACACCTATATAATTTCAAGAAGAACAAGTGTATGGGGTCAAATCTGACCCTCAACGTCTCCACGCCGATGGGTACGCCCAACGAGTATATGCCGACTATAGCAAGGGTACGACTTAGGCGTGGGGACGTCGCTTAAAATTCATTGTCTTCACTAAGAAGACGCTACCTACTTTTGTACTTTTTTGATTGTTTCGAGGAAGATTTCCTACTATATAAAGGAGACCTTTACATTGTAACAGGCATCAGTGTTATTCCCAATAATACAACTCTCTTACTCTCTCTCCATCTATCTCTACGGATACTTTCTCTCAAGCTCATACTATCTTTTTATTTTTTAGATCTACTATAGCAACGCCATCCTTTTCATCTCTAGGTCTTATTATATTTGATTACGATTTACCCTAATTTACTTTTGGTTGTTTTTAAGCTTATAAAGTACATTGATAATTTTTGAGCCGAACAATTTGGCGTTGTCTGTGGGGATTTCGAGAATTAAAACTATAGTTTGCACCTAGAGAACAACCGACAACCATTCTCCACACCACACAGGAGCAAAAGATGGTTGAAAATAACACAAGAATGAAAGCAATAGTGGGTGTCACAGCCAACCTCATAGGTCCTCTTAACGAGGTCAGTAAAGAGGATATTTTGAATGCAACCCCTAGCATCACATCAATTGGAGAGATCCACCTTCCCCATCTGAAGATCTAGCAATCTTGCACGAAAAAGGTGCTTCTACATCTGCGACTAAGGAAGCACCCTCGGTGGTCAAGAAGCTATTGGAGGAGTGGCTAACAAGCGCTCTAAGTGGCTTGGTCGAGAAGTCACTACAAAGTAACATCTGGTGCACACCGACAGTAGGCCTTACTGCTGCCATAGGTGAATCTGAGGTTGTACGAGCAAATAACATGCCCATCGATGTGCAGACAACCGATGGCACACTCACAGTCATTCTTAAAAATATGGAAGAAATGGAGAATGAAAATAAGTCACTTCGTGACCAGATGAAGGAACACCGGGAGAGGGTAGATAAGATCCCCAGTGCTCCCAAGTTGCTGCCAAAACGCGACGTGGGAAGGTTCATTGAACAACCTTACACCGAGGAAGTTTCCCCTTACTCCATACCAAAGACATTCAAGATGCCACCATACCTAAGAGTATATGACGGAACCACAGATCACGAGGATCATCTGATCCACTATGTCACGGTTGTGAAGGGCAACAACCTATCAAATGAGTAGGTACCATCCGTGCTTCTGAAGAAGTTTGGTGAGATGTTAACAGAAGGGGCCCTGACGTGGTACTCTTAGCTACCAGCTAAGATCATTTCTACATTCGAGGAAATGGTGGACAAGTTCGTCACCGCCCATGCCGGAGCAAAGAAAGCAGAAGTAAGGGTCAACGATATCTTCGTTGTCCGGCAAACAGCAGGAGAGGGACTCAGGGACTTCCTAGCCAGGTTTAACAGGGTAAGGATGAGCCTACCAAATGTGTCGGAAGGCATGGCGGTTTCCGCTTTCCAGAACGGGCTAAATAGAGACGGTTCGAGGGCGACTAAAAAACTACTAAGCCGTCTCATGAAGTATCCTCCTACCACATGGGAAGAAATCCATAATGCCTACTATGCTGAGGTACGAGCAGACGAGGACAACCTCAACGAGCCGATCCAACGGGTAACAATGATACACCCAGAAATTAGAAGGGATCGACGCAATGAGGGAATGAGGGAACAAATCCCACGTCTCAATAGAGAAAGGCACCAGCCCTACGTCAGGTCTTCCCATCCGCCACCACCAAGGCACACAGATGCACTATAGCGACATGTCGCTCTGCTCCGAAACGAAAGAGGTATGTCTCCTATATTATCTGCCCATAACTTTGATGTGTCTCCTTCAAAAATAGTGTACGCACTGGAGAAGCTGGGCACCAAGGTGCAATGGCCGACGAAGATGAAATCAGACCCCACCACGAGGTAATCAAACATCCTATGTGAGTTCCATCAGGAATGAGGACACAAAACCAAAGACTTCATAGGCCTACGGCAAGAGGTAGTTAGGATGCTGAACCAGGGGTACCTAAGGGAACTACTCGATGACAAAGGGAAAACCAACTTTTAACGCAGACGGGAACAACCCCATGGACAGTTGAAGCCGCCCTCTCTGGCACGTACGATAAACATGATCGTCAGAGGCGGCGAAGACTTAGCAATCAATCACGTCAAGTTCACCACTACGCACAAACTAAAGCAAACCATCGCCCATGAACGGTATGACTACTTCGAAGATAGTATCACCTTCGATAAGTCCGATGCCAACGGTTTGTCTTTACCTCATTAAGATGATTTAGTTATCACTTTACATATTGCCGATATGGATGTTAAAAGAATCATGGTTTACGACGGAAGTGGTGCTTGTAATATCCATACGAGGGTCCTCGTACAAATGGGACTCGAGGATAGGATAATATCGCGTTGCATAACACTAACTGGTTTTAGCAATGCAATAGAACGGACATCCGGAGAAGTATCACTGCCCGTTTTAGCAGGAGGAGTCACACTGGAAACAACTTTCCACGTGATGAACCAGGAAATGGCGTACAACGCCATCATAGGACGCCCATGGATACATGCCATGCGAGCAGTCCCTTCAAGCTTTAACCAAGTGATCAAATTTCCTACCCCATGGGGAGTATTCAGTATCAGAGGCGAGCCGCGCACCGCACAGGAATGCTACAAAATAGCTCAAGATTGCACCCACACCAAACAACTTAAGGGGGGGAGTGCAGAGGCATAGCAATCAGCTATGTCGGGGACCAAGGTCAACCCAACAATAGATGCCATTAGAGACCCTGACGTCGTGGAGGCTTGCAAAGCTACGGTCGAAGATCTCGACCCAATCCAGTTAGACGACACCGACCTTACGAAGAAATCCTACATCGGGAACGGCCTCGCCAACCCAAGTAAGTATCATGAATTCTTAACTAACCATGAAGATCTATTTGCTTTTTCCCATTCAGATATGTCAGGAATTCCGTGAGACATCGCCACCCACAAGTTGAATGTCGGTCCATTACACCCGCCTGTGCGGCAAATAAGGAGGAAATTCAACACCACTATCAATGGAGAGGTCAGTGAGGAAGTAACAAGTTACTGGCTAATGGCTCCATCAGAGAATCAAAGTACCCCCATTGGTTCACCAATGTCGTCATGGTCAAAAATAAAAACGGGAAGTGAAGAATGTGCGTGGACTTCACCGACCTGAACTATGCATTCCCAAAAGATTCATTATCGCTGTACCACATCGACCAACTGATCGATGCCACCGCAAGACACAAACTGCTGAGCTTCTTAGATGCCTACTCCGACTACAATCAAATCATGATGGCCGAAGAGGACCAGGAGAAAATGACTTTCATCACCCACCACGGGAAATACTGCTACAAGTTAATGCCTTTGGGGCTAAAAAATGCAGGGGCTGCGTACCAAAGACGGGTCACCAAAATGTTCAAAGAGCAGCTCGGTAAGACCATAGAAGTCTATATCGATGATATACAGGTTAAGTCGACAAATAAAGAAGACCACATCGACCATCTGAAGAAAGCCTTTAAGATATTGAGGAGGTACGGGATGAAACTGAACCCCGAAAAATATGCTTTCGGTGTGGCCTCAGGAAAATTCTTAGGATTTATCGTATCACAATGAGGAATCGAGGTCAACCCAGACCAAATCAAGGCGATAGATGCAATACCTGAGGTTTTGAGCAGCCAAAAACAGGTACAAAAGCTGACGGGGTGAATAGCCTCTCTATCCAGGTTCATCTCACGATCCTCCGACAGGTGCCATAAATTTTTCAATGTGTTGAGGAAAGACCATGGGTTACAGTGGAACAAGGAGTGTGTCGAAGCTTTGAGAAAATTAAAAGCATACATATCTTCGCCACCACTGCTGGTCAAAGCAAGCCCAGGCGAACCCCTACTGGTGTATCTGGCCGTATCCGAGGTTGCCATCAGTGCAGTTTTTGTTCGCAAAAATGAAGGTACGCAATCTCATATCTATTACATTAGCAAAACATTAATGGAATCATAAACACGGTATCCACACCTTGAGAAATTAGCTCTGGCATTGGTCGTAGCTTCACGAAAGCTCCGACCCTATTTTCAATGCCACCCCATAAAAGTAGTAACGACCTTTCCATTAAGAAGCGTCCTACACAAGTTCGAATTATCAGGCAGGCTCGCCAGATGGGCCATTGATATCAGCGAGCACGACATCTCATATCACCCAAGAACTGCCATCAAGTCGCAAGTATTTGCCGACTTTGTAGCCAATTTCAGCGCAGAGATACTACCAGAGGCGGAACTATAGGCGCGTCGTGCCTCCTCCAGTACTGACCTGTGGACTCTCTACACCGACGGTGCTGCCAATGCCTCAGGATCAGGACTGGGACTCGTCCTCGAGATCCCCACGGGCGAAATAATTTGCCAATCCATACAATTCCCCGAAATGACTAACAACGAGGCCGAGTACGAGGCTGTTATTGCAGGTATGAAACTAGCCATCAAATGTGGGGTTTGAAAATATACCAGTCAGAAATCCACCCATTAATGGGTGAGTTCAATGAGTGTCGCTTCGAACAAATTCTGAGGGCACGAAATATTGAAGCAGATGGCTTAGCAAAATTGCCCGCGGCCATTAAAAACTTCAACAGAGAAAGCATGGTCACTCTCCTCCATTTAGCAATTGATCACACTAAGGTATTCTCTTTATATTTGACTTGGTACTGGCGCAACCAATTTGTATCCTATCTACAGGACGGGACACTCCCACTCGACAAAAAAGAGGCAAAGAAACTCTTCTTGCAAGCCGCCCGGTATTGCCTGATAAATCATTACCTCTACAAAAGGAGTTTGGCGGACCCCTAGCCAAGTGCCTAGGGCCGAACCAAACAAGGCCAGTGCTCGAAGAAGTACACGAGGGTCACTGCGGTTCCCACACATGTAATCGCGCCCTCGTGTGCTGCATCATGCGGGCCGGCTATTACTGGCCCACTATGAAGACAAAGGCAGCGGAGTACGTTCTCCGATGCAAACAATGCCAAAAGTATGCCCCCATGATACACCAACTAGGAGAACCCCTCCACTCAGTCACATCCCCATGGCCTTTCATCAAATGAGGAATGGACATAGTCGGTCCCCTACCAGCGGGACGAGGAAAGGTATGATTTCTACTAGTTTTAACTGACTATTTCTCCAAGTGGGTGGAAGCAGGTGCGTACGCCCAAATATGCAAACAGGAAGTCATCGCCTTCATATGGAAAAATATCATATGCCGATTCGGCATCCTCAAGGAAATCAGTTGCGACAACAGATGATAGTTCATCGGCGAATAAACGATAGAATTCTTCGAAAAGTGCCATATCAAGTGAATACTCTCCAGGCTATACCACCCTGCTACCAACGGCCAAGCAGAATCTTCCAACAAAACAATACTGAACATACTGAAAAAGAAACTCGAGGAGGCCAAAGGGCTATGGCCCAAGCTACTACTAGAAGTATTGTGGGCACACCGAACCATACCCAAATCCAGCACAGGAGAAACACCATACTCATTGGTCTACGGAACCCATGCTGTCATACTAATAGAAGTCGATGAACCAAGCTTGAGACGTACCAGCGGAATAGAAAACGGCATAAGCAAACTCCAAGACCTCGATGAGGCCGAGGAGAGAAGAGAAATGGGCCACATAAGAATGGTGGCTCAAAAACAACAGGTCAAAAGATACTATAACAAGAGGGCCAAAATAAGACCACCCAAAGTGGGAGACTACGTCCTCAAAGCCAAAACACTGGCATCCAAAGACCCAAACGAAGGAAAACTCGGCACTAACTGGGACGGACCCTACAAAATCACAGCAGCAGCAAGTAAAAGAGCATTCCAATTGGAAACAATGGAAGGAAAACGCTCCAAAACTATTGGAACGTCGCCCACCTCAAGTATTTCTATTTCTGAAAGGCGTCTCCCGAGTTGTACTCTTTTCCCCTTACTCGAGTTTTATCCCAATTGGGTTTTCTCGGGGAGGTTTTTAACGAGGCGGCGGAGGGGACACCTGGAGATATTTGCGAAACAACTTTATCATATCAGCCTCTCCATACGCTCTCCAGGCCGACATGACAAAGGAACTAGACTAGCATCATCTCCACTGTGTAAACGGCTAAGGCCATCTCCAATGTGTAAACAGCTAAGGCCATCTCCAATGTATAAATGGCTAAGGCCATCTCCAATGTGTAAATGACTAAGTCCATCTACAATGTATAAGGCTAAGGCCATCTCCAATGTGTAAACAGCTAAGGCCATCTCCAATGTATAAATGGCTAAGGCCATCTCCAATGTGTAAATGACTAAGTCCATCTACAATGTATAAGGCTAAGGCCATCCCCATAGTGTAAACGGCTAAGGCCATCTCCAATGTATAAGGCTAAGGCCATCTCCAATGTGTAAACGGATAAGGCCATCTCCAATGTATAAGGCTAAGGCCATCTCTGTCACGACCCGGATTTCTCCACCAATGGGTCGTGATGGCGCCTACTATCGGAGCTAGGCAAGGCGAACCAACATACACTCAGCAATTTATAATTAACAATTAATAATTCAAAGACAGAAAATATAAGCGGAAGACTTAATTACTTTCATAAATGCAAAACATGGAAGAAATCTGATACAAATCCTCTACCCAAGAACCAGTGTCGCGGTATACGGACTTCTAAGAGTCACTACATACAAGCATTTGAAATGAAATACACAATAATGTTTGTCTGAACAGATAAACAAACTGAGACTAGCAGGAAAAGACTGGAAGGTCCACGGACGCCAGTGAACTACCTCGCAGTCTCTGGACTGAAGGCTGGCTCCCCGTCTACTGCTGATGCGCTCCAAAAGCTGCTCCCGGATCTGTGCACAAAAGGGCACAGAAGTGTAGTATCACCACAATCCGACCCCATGTGCTGGTAAGTTCCTGGCCTAACCCCGGCTCACGAGGTAGTGACGAGGATAGACAGGACCTACAGCGTTAACCTGTGCAAGATATATATGCATACGACAACAAGAAGAAATACTACTGTAAAGTAAACAGATACGGGAGGGGAACATGCTGTAAAGGGGAACAGTTCTAAAGCATAAAGTACAATAAGCTAAAGCAGTTAATCTATGACTACTCAAAGTAAAATAGTAAGTACGAAGTGGACGGCGCGCCACACGATCCCATATTCAATATTCAAAAGTGGACGGCGCGCCACACGATCCCATTTCATAGTTCACAAGTGGACGGCGTGCCACACGATCCCATATTCAATAATCTCAAGTGGACGGCATGCCACACGATCCCAAAATCAATAGAAGTTCAGCTCTCTTCAATTACACATAAGTCCTATCTCAAGGAACACAATAATTTACATAAACTCATCTAACCCGGCAAGGGTGCAGCTATAACCAAACAATCCCGGCAAGGGACACAAGAATCATATAGAATTCAACATTTCCCGGCAAGGCATTTCACTTGAACTATCCAATTAAGTCATTTAATTCATTTGATTCCAACATGTATTTAAAAGGATCAATTCAATAGCTAGAATTCATGACATAGCTTTCAACAATTTCAATTAAAGACCCACAATCATGCTTTGACTCGGGTGCATAGGTAACCATCACCAAACCTATACACCGACCCATGTAACACATAGCAAATAATATCCTAGTCCTAATCCCTCGAACTAGAGTTAGAACAAACACTTACCTCAA